GTATGAGGCGCACTTCTGGTGTACTGTAGAGGAAAATGTTTACGTTACATTTGTGTGTTTTGTATTTCTGGGTCCTCTGCAAGTGATAAATAGGACTGAGTGTTGCTGGTGTAGTTTCGGTGCACTTCACAGTTCACTTAAAGTTTCAAAGTGAGTGTGGTGCACTTATGGTGCTATAGAATATTCTTCATTTGTGTGGCGTGCTGCTGGTGTAAACCATGAGGTACCAATCTGAACCAGAGGATGTGATGTACACCACAGTTTGGTGAGGGAAACATCAGATTTTATGTCAAAGTTGACAAGGATTTGTACTGGTCCTTAAATTGAAAAACTAGAACGGCAAGGCCGCCATGGCTCGTTGCTTGTTATGAATTTGAATGTCTTTACTGTAATAACTGGAAGGAAAGTTATACAAATATGGTTACTAATTTAAACAAGAAAATACTAACCAAGCTTCATCAAAATTTGTTACAAGATTGATTGACAGATGTACAAGATATTTTATCGACCTTAGCAACAAAATCCATTGTACTCCAGGAGAAAAACCAAGGAGTTAGTGCTGTGTGCAGACTGTGTTGAAATGCGATTTGGTTTAAAAGTAAATAAACAAAGACCACCAGCAAGGGAGATACAGGTACAAAAGCTTCATATTTCTTTACAAGAGAGAGGAATGCCTATAGTGTGTGGGTTCAGTCAGTCAGATTAGACCCGGATGATTATACAGGGTGTCCCAGAAAAAAACAAACCCTGAGAAAAGGGTTTAATATGCCCAAACCGTGAGATATGATTATAATGTATAAGGATCTCTGAAAAGTAGAAGCAGTGTTCTTTCTAATGATACCTTGATGGTATCCCTCCTGTCATACATGACTGAACACCATTGTCTTGAAAATGGGCATCCGAACTCAGTTGTAACACTTTGGATAAATGAGGTTGTCCTCTGTCATGCTTGTCCTGGATAAGATAGCAGGGGCACACCGATTATTTACACATTATGAAATTCACAGCAAGTTGCTGTCGAACCGCAGAAACATTTTCAGGAGTTCGCTCTGTGCGCCTCCTGCCCCAATGTCCCTTATTCAAATTAAGGCTTGTAATTGTCCCATGTTCTCGGTATTTGCGCGCATTTTCCCAGACTGTCGACTTTGCTGGTGGATCCCTATAAGGGAAGGCTTCCCTAAATGCAACTTGGGTGGCTTGAAAGCTCGTTTTCAAGAAATTTCGTCACGACAAACACTCTTTGCTAAGTTGCACCATGTTGCAGACTTGCTGACCTGCTTCGAACACTTTTCAACACTGGACTAGCCTACCTCGGGCAACTGAACACATTTAAACCAGCTTATTGCATAACTCAAAGTGACAAAAGGCAATCTTCCCACATTAACATGTCCTTTTGTTGTCACTTTCAACCAGGACAAGCATGACTGAGAACAACCTCATTCACTGGTTTATCCAAAGTGTTGCAACTCAGTTCGGATGCTCCATTTTCAAGACAATGATGTTCAGTCATGCATGACAGGAGGGATGCCATCAAGGTATCATTAGAAAGAATACTGCTTCTAATTTTCGGAGATCCTTATACATTATAATTATATCTCATGGTTTGGGCATATTAACCCCTTTCCTCGGGGTTTGGTTTGGTGTAAGCAGTGCATTTGTAAGTTTGATGGATGGTGCATAATTAAAATTCCTCTTAAGTCCAGATCTGTACTTTGTATCCAACCCCATCATCCTATCCCTCACAATTCTACCCCCATCATCCACATACCATCACCCCATATATACCATGTCTAATATGACGCCACTCCGTAATCCTATCTATCTCCAATCCCACATCTACCTTATCTTTCCATCCATATCCTCCATCATCCTATTCACCTCCTACTCTGCCCCCTCCCCATCATCCTATCCATCTCCTACTCTTCCCCCTCCCCATCATCCTATCCATCTCCTACTCCGCCTCCTCCCATCATCCTATCCATCTCCTACTCTGCCCCTTCCCCATCATCCTAT